CTGCCCTGGCAGCTCAAGTGGAAGCGCTTGCTGGATCGCATCTTCCATGACAGCTTCTCGGAGGAGGAGGAGGTGGTGCTGCTGGCCAACGACTACATGCACAAGGTGTCCAACCTCATCCGTGTGACACCCAGCAGGTGAGGGGGGCTGGCACCCCCTGTGCCCCTGGCACCTTTCCCAGCCTGGCAGGGGGCACAGGACAGCTGTGCCTGGACCCTCCCACCATCACTCTTCTCCTGGTGCAGGAAGGCCGGGCTGGGCACAGGAAATCTGGGAAAGCTTGTGGGAAAGGCTCTGTTGTGAGCCCCACAGCATCCTGGTCGTGCCTGGACACCTGCTGAGCCACCCACACCAGAGGTCACCAGACTCATGGCACCTCAGGGAGGGACGTGGTGCCGGCCTGTCCCTGTGCGCCACCAGCCATGGCCCCTGTGTCCCCAAGCAGGGGTGTCCCCATCCTGGCACATGGTCCCACTGTCCCTGTGCCCGGGGATGTGCTGAGGGCCGCCCCTGTCCCTGTCCCAGGATCCTTCACAACTACATGCTGTGGCGCATCGTGGTGGTGCTGAGCGAGCACCTCTCCACCCCCTTCCGCGATGCCATCCACGAGCTCTCCAAGGAGATGGAGGGCAATGAGAAGCAGCTGGAGCCGGGTAAGATCTGCCTGAGCCAGGCCAATAAGCACTTTGGAATGGCCCTGGGAGCTCTCTTCGTTGAGGAGCACTTCTCCTCTGCCAGCAAAGCCAAGGTAGGTGATGCTGCCTATCGGCAGAAGCCACCCCGATCTCCCATCACCTTGCCAGAGTGCCCACTGCCCCCAGCAAGGGCTGTCTGGCTGGTGGTGGATGGTGGGGATGCCGTGCCAGCACCATGGTGACCCACCATAGGTGCAGCAGCTGGTGGAGGACATCAAATACATCCTCGACCAGCGCTTGGATGAGCTGGACTGGATGGACGAGGAGACACGGAGAGCAGCCAGGGCGAAGGTAGTGGCTCCTAGCATGTATTCGTGTCTTTGGCCCCATCACCAGCACAGAGGCACATGGGATAGGGGCCTGAATACACCACTGATTTTGCCCACAGCTCCGGTACATGATGGTGATGATTGGGTACCCTGATTTCCTCCTGAAGCCAGAGGCCATTGACAAGGAATATGAGGCAAGGGATAGCCTGGGAGCATGTGAGGACATGGGCACATGGTGGGGGAAGATGGTCCCCACATCTGCATCAGGCTCTGTGGAGATGCCACCTCAAAACAAGCCCCCTCCTGGTGCTCACTGCTGGGAGGGTGCCCCACACAGGCAGTGCCATACAGTCCCTGGGGTCTGGGATGGTGTTTCCTTCCCCACATTGCAGCTCCCAGAGCTCAGCCCCATCCTTGGCAAGGACTGGGGGTGCCAGCGTGGCCCAGGGACCTCCCAGAGCTGGCAGAGAAGCAACTGCCCCTGTGGGCACCCAGCATGGGACATGAGAACACACTTGTGACATATCCACACGGTCACCAAGGCTCACAGGGGTAGGAGGACACCACAGGCCTGCCCTCCACACTCTTGGGGCTGGCATGTCCCCTGATGTGGCTGTGTCCCCCCAGTTTGAGGTGAATGAGAAGACATACTTCAAGAACATCCTCAACAGCATCGCCTTTGGCATCAGGCTCTCAGTGAAGAAGATCCGGCAGGAGGTGGATAAGTCTGCGTGGGTATCCCCTTGTCCTGGGGGGACGTGGAGGGGCCCAGCATGGTGCCAGCAGTGTCCCCTGTCCCCATGCCCGGATGCAGCCCACAGGCTGTAGGCAGAAGGGCACAGGGATGCCAGGAGTGTCCCCCTGTTCCCCAGCAGTGCAGAGGGATGGCACTTCCATGTGCCTCGGTGTTGTGCCCAGCACTGCTGTCTCTCCTTGCAGATGGCTGCTGCCGCCCCAGGCACTGAACGCCTACTACTTGCCCAACAAGAACCAGATGGGTGAGCACTGTCTGCCCTTGATCTGCCCCCAGGGGGGAGCGGGGAAGATTTGGGATGGGGACAAGGCCCAGGGTCCCGTGGTGCTGGGTGGTGCTGTGGGTGGGTACAGGGCAGGGTGACACCAACTGCAATGTTCTCCTGTGTCCCCAGTGTTCCCTGCTGGCATCCTGCAGCCCACGCTCTACGACCCCGAGTTCCCGCAGTGAGTGTGGGGCTGGGGGATGGCTGGGGTTTGCCATGTCATGGGGTCACCCCCATCCCTGCCAGCACCGTGCTCTCCACCCTCTCACCTCTGTTCTCCATCCAACAGGTCACTGAACTATGGTGGGATTGGCACCATCATTGGGCACGAGCTGACCCATGGCTACGATGACTGGGGTGAGTGTCCCTCCTGTGTCCTGCCCAGATGTGAGGATGGGCTGGGGCAGCCAGGCAGGACGCCTGGGTCCCCTGGGACTCCTGGAGGTGGCGGTTGCCTCGGCAGGGGGACAGTACGACCGGCACGGGAACCTGGTTCACTGGTGGACGGAGCGGTCGTACAGCAAGTTCCTGAAGAAGGCGCAGTGCATCGTCAACCTCTACGACAACTTTACTGTCTACAACCAGAGGGTGAGACCCCCTCTCCTGCCAGGCGATGGCCAGCAGGGCACAGCTGCCCCACGGTGGGGTCTCTGCTGCCCCATCGCTTAGGGCTGGGTGCCTGCAGGAGAGCTGACTCTGCCCTGCCCAGCCCTGAGACCAGCAATTCATCGCACCTAAGCCTGGAAATTCCTCAGGGCATCTGGGGAGTTTTCATCCCCTCGGTGCCAGCATGGGGATGGGGACACCTCTGTTGATGCTGTCACTTCTCCTTTGGCAGGTGAATGGCAAACACACACTGGGGGAGAACATCGCTGACATGGGGGGGCTCAAACTTGCCTACTAGGTGAGTGTCCCCCCACCCTGGGTGTCCCAGCCATGGGCAGCTGCTTCTGACACCCCTGTTGAGGGGGAGATGCCCCAAATCCTCCTTACAACCTGCAGCAAGGAGTGTTCAGGATCCTGATTGCTGCTTGCTGGGGGCTTGGGGGGGGTTTGGGGGAGTNATGGCTGGCAGACAGAGGGCACCCAGTGCCAGCAGCGCTGGGGACTGGGGTGCCACAGGACAGTGGCATCCTGAGCATCCCTTCCCTCTGAACAGATTCTGGCCGCATACCGAGTGTTCATGGAGCGACTGCTCACCCTCCTGGGGGCTGAGAACGTGGAGCAGAAAGCCCAGGAGATCCTGCAGCTGGAGCAGCACCTCGCCAATGTGAGAGGGACACATGCCATGAACCTTGGGGTGCCCTTGTCCAGCCCTTGGACATCCCAGTCACAGATTTTGGGGGACATCCATATGTGCCTCTGAGCAATCTCATTCCAATACCTCCATGGGGACTTCCTCTCCCAGCTCTTGGCTACCTTCAGACCTAGAACTTGGGGATCTCATCCTCTTGAGGACCTTATGGCAGAGCTTCAGGCACCCAGTCCCACATCCTGAGAACCCTCAGTCCCAGCCCTTCGGGCAACAACTCCAGCCCAGCATCTACTCCTTGTGAGGCCACTCTGGGCCCTTGTAGACTCCACATACAGGTCTTAGGGACCTTAGTCTGGACTATGGAGGAATGTGTGTGCCTGTTCCTCAGATAACCCAGTTCCTTGGCACCTTCTGACTAGTCCTCAGGGTCCCTCTGGCAGCAGAGGGTTCCTGGGGCAGGGAGTGGGAAGGATGTGGGTCAGTACCTACATTAGCTATGCCCAGAGCACTATCCCTGTGTCACCCCAAGGCGGGCAGTGGGGTGGTGACAGCCATGCCCACCCTGTGCAGATCACGGTGTCCGAGTATGACGACGTGCGCAGGGATGTTGGCAGCATGTACCACAAAGTGACCCTGGCTGAGCTGCAGCGCATCACTCCCACAGTGAGTGCCCCTGGTGCCAGCCTGTCCCCCACCTGCCTGTGCCCCACACTTGTCCCTGTCCCCCTGCTCCATACCCTCAGTGCCCACCACCTGTCCCAGTTAAATCCACCTGAGGATAATGCACTCCTCTGGTGGGAGGCTGGAAAGGCTGGAAGGGGTCCCCTCCAGGGTGGCATGGAGTGGGGGTCCCCATGCCCCCCTGACAGTGCCTGCCCTGGCAGCTCAAGTGGAAGCGCTTGCTGGATCGCATCTTCCATGACAGCTTCTCGGAGGAGGAGNGCCAATGGCCAGGAGCTGGGCTCGGCTGCATCATCAGGTCCTGGGCTCGGGGTACAGAGCTCAGTCCTGAAGGAGCACCCCGAGAAACCCTACAATAACAGACATGACTCCATGCTCTCCCAACCCACCGTGTACACAGGCTCCTGGGAAACCCTACACTAACAAATTCAATCAGGGCATCACTGCCCTCAGTCCCTAGCAGCCAGAAGGGCCACGGTGTCCTGGTGGTTGCCAGGACCCAGGGTGCCCCATGTGGTTTGTCCATGGAACTTTTGTCCCCTGCAGAACTGGTGCATCAAGCGGAGATCCCAGTCCATCTACCTGCAGGTGCTGACAGACAAGCACGCCCCGGAGCACTACAGGTACTTGGTGCTCCCAAAATGGAGGGGCTGGGGGCATGGTGGGTGCCAGCCTTCCCCACAGATGTCAGTGCTGCGCAAAGTGGGATGAGCACCCTTTGGAGTGCGGGTGCCAGCAGATTTTGGGTGATATCCCTGGGGCAGGGGTGGGGTTCTGCTGGGGGGAGCACGTGCTGTGAGTGGGGTGTGAGGCAGCAGTGCCGGGGGTGCCCAGCTCTGAGATCCTCTCCTCTCCCGGCAGGGTCCTGGGCAGTGTCTCACAGTTTGAGGAGTTTGGACGGGTCTTCCACTGCCCCAAGAACTCACCCATGAACCCAGTGCACAAGTGCTCGGTGTGGTGAGGCTGATCCCCATTCAGCAGGCTGGGACCCACCTTCCCCTCCCCTGCCCAAGAGACACATTGTGCCCACTACCCAAATCCCATCTCCCTTCTGATTCTCCAGGTAAAGGGGGCACCCTCGGGTGTCACAGGGGTCATCCCAAAGGCAGGCAGCTGCCATAGGGCTGTAGGCAGCAGAGACACTTGAGCTGGGCAGCTTCCTCCTGCCCATGCCCCTCCCATCCACTGCCCTGTGCAGTGAGGGATCCTCATTTCCCATGGAGGAACAAGGGCACACAGGCACACCTGTACCCCCTTTTGTGTCCACCCAGCCCAAACCCTTCACCCAGCCCTACCACATCCATCCTAGCATCAGTCAAGGCAGGTGGAGGACTTCACAGTCTCCAAGGGGCTGCCCCATGCCATAAGCCTCCCCTGCACGGTGCCCTCCCCATGCCAGCCCCTGTCCATGCACCAGCCCTGCCTGGGGGGGCACAGCGGCGCAGCCAGGCCGGGCGATGCTGGCCTGCCTGGGAGCGCAGGCACACGGACACTGCTGTATTTTCCGCTGCTGCTCCTGGTCAATAAAGCGCTGGATATGCTGGGTGGCTGCCAGGGGCCATGGCCAGGGGATGGGAGCAGTGGCAGCACCCCCAGCCCTGCCCACATGGCACAGGCACCCCCACTCCATGAACACGCCTGTCCCACCAGAGTCACACTGTGTGTTTATTTAACCCCCACTGCCCGGGATTCAGTGTCCCCATGGCTGCTGCATCCAGAGCAGCGATGCTTCAGAAAGCTGCCTGCAGGTGCTACACAGTGGGGAGGGAGGGGAACGTGAGTGTGTCCATGGGGTGCCCTAGGGCATCAGCGGAAGAGGGGCAGAAGGAGGGCAGGCAGGAGCAGGGCCAGGGGGCTGCCGCGGATGCCGGGGCCGGAGTTCCGCTGGCGGCAGTCAGTGTAGGGCTCGATGCAGGCGGCGTAGGCCATGGCATGGGCTACATAGGTCTGCTCCTGCACCCCGTGGAAGAGGTGGGCCATGGGGCCCTTGGCCAGGATGGCCACGTCCTCACCACCATGGGTCTCTGACTCCAGTGGCACAGCCGCCTGTGGCAGGTAATCAAACTGCACTGTGGAGGGGAGAGAAGGAGGTGAGGAGGGGCAATGATGGCCCCCAGCCCCACCCCACCACCCAAGCCATGGCCTCTGTGTCCTCACTGGCTGTTTCTGGGTCCACGTTAGGCCGTATACCGTCGGGATATCCTGGCCCATTCCCGTAGAGGATCGATGTGTAGTTCTTCCCGTCAGTAGTTTTCTTTTGCCCCAGAGCTGGGGAAGGGGCAATGGAGGAGGAAGATGAGGAGGAGAAGAAGGAGGAGGATCAGCCAAGGACCACACATATCACCCCTCTGGCCACAGTCAGGGTGGCACAGGGCTGGTAGTACCCAGGACAGGGCAAAGCCGCACCAAAGATGGAGGAGCCACGCAGGGTGTAGCCCCCAAAGGTGAAGACGTGTGAGTGGTCAGCGGTGACGACGGTGAGGGTGTCATCCTCGTCTGTCATGGTGCCTGCCCGCTCGATGGCCCAGTCAAACTCCACTGCCTCCGTCAGTGCCTTGTGGGGTGAACCTTCATGGTGGCCACGGTCGATTCTGCCACCTGCAGATGGGCACCCACGATGGGCTGGGGACCAACAGCAGCACGCACAACTCATATACCCCCACCCTGCAGCCCCCTCTCACTGGTCCCGGGGACATGAGCCCCAACTTATCTTCCACAAAGAGGTAGAAGCCATTGGGGTTCCTGCTCAGGACGGAGATGGCTGCCTCTGTCATCTCGGTGAGAGACGGGTCCAGGGTGGTGTTACGCACCAAGTTGTACTTTGTGTCCACGGGTTCAAAGAGACCTGTGAGGGAATGTGTTGGGGACAGCATCAGTGCCTGAGTGTCCCAGCGCCTCTTGGGTCCTGGCACAGGGGTCATTTGTTACCCATCAAATAATGCACGTTGGGGTCAGCAGCAGCTGCCAGCATCTCTGTCCTGTTCCAGACATAGCGGGCACCCTGTGGGCAGATCCCCCGGGGGTTAGTGGGTGCCTGTCCCTGTGCCAGGGCCAGTGGGCAGAGGGGCGTCCCTGACGTGTCACGCACCGGCCGTGCCTGCAGCCACATGTCGATGAGGTTGTTGCCATCCTCGCGTATCCCATTCTGGCTGCTGTCAGCGGGGTACTCAGGGTCCGGTGTCCCCGCGGGGGTCATGTATTTCCGACCACCACCCAGGATCACCTGGAGGGGATGAGGTGGACAAAGTGTTGTTAGTGGGGGTGCCCTGAGAGGGGTCTGTGCCTGCTCTCCTCCTCCCGCATGCGGTGCTCACGTTGATGTCGACGTTGTGGACCAGCTGCCAGGCGATGTCCTTGCAGCCCTGCTGCCGCGCCTCCTGGGGCATGCTGGCGTCCGCGTACCAGTTCCTGTCCACCACGTGTGCGTAGGTTCCCGAGGGTGATGCGTGCTGCACCCGCGTTGTGGTCACGATGCCCACTGCCTTCCCTGCCAAACCGCACTCATCAGGCCCCACCAAGGACCCCTACACAGAGTCCCCACCACCGAGGAAAGCCCCCGGTGTGGCACCCTTGTTCCCCCAGGGCTCGCCCCAGGCCTGCATTCCCCGTTACCAGCTCTGCGGGCTCGCTCCATCACTGAGATCACCTCGTTGCCAAATGTGGTGCTGCACTCTCCGTAGCGGGCGGCCGCACTCACCCCAATGGTCTTGTAGTTGCCCTTCACCCCACAGAGATAGGCTGTGCCTGTCCCCGCGCTGTCAGGGACATGTCTGTCCACATTGTAGGTCTGCCAAGGATAGAAGGAGGGGTCTCCAGTAGGGTCTCCTTGCAGTACCCTGTGCCACACTACTTCATTCACACATGAACACATGTGGCATGGGGAGGGATCCCAAACACAACATACGTGCAGCTCTGGGCTGCCAGGGCTGCACATATGGGATAACCATGGTCCCATGCCCAGGATCACAACGCCCCATTTCCAGCATGCTGGAATTTACCTTAGACAGAGCCATGTAGGGGAAAGCATCCAGAGCAAGAGGGGTCTCAGGGCCGAGCTTCCCCTGTTGCTGTGCCTTGAGGATGCGGGTGGCTGTGATGGTGGAGACCCCGAATCCTGGGCAGAAAGAGGGTCCTGGTCACCCTCTGGACCAGGTGCCCTGCACACATCCCACTCAGCAGAGTACTGGCCATGTCAGCCTGCTTGCTGGGGTGCCAGCTGGACTCACCATCCCCAAGAAAAATGATGAGGTTTTTGGCTTTGTGTATCCTTGGCTGGATATTGAAGGAGGCTTCGATGGCTGCAGCTGCCTGCCTGTACCAGAAGGATGGATTCTCCTCCTCCGCTGGGACAGTGCAAACACCCATCAGTGCCAGCACAAGAGCACCTGCATCCCTGGGGCACCCCTGAGGGGTACCCAGAGCCCAGGGATACTTGTTCCCTGAGCACTCCCATGGTGGGGCCTTCTCTCACAAGCACCAGGTGGTTTGGGGCTGTTTGGGGTGGGGAGAGACCGTGCAGGCTTGCACTGACTGCCTGGCCCCAGGGCCCTGGGGCAGGGAACAAGGGGGAACAGCAAAACCAGACATGATGGGGAGTTATCTGGTGAGGGGGACAGAGCCAAACCCATGGTAGGGAGCGGTGATAGAGGATACAGGCGCTTCTCCCAGAGCAGCCCCCAGCACAGAAGCAAGTGAAAATCTGGGGGAAAAGTGGTGCCCAAGAAGGGCAGGGGTGACAAAGCCCCATTGATTCTTGTCCAGCTGGGCAGCCCCAGCTCCCCTCCCCAGGCCCTCCTTGTGGCCAGCCAGGCTGACACCCTGCTTCCCTGGGCACCCACCGCAGCCAGCCGGGCCCCAGCCCCGTCCTTGTGCCCACCTGGAATGACAGCGGCGCCGAGCCCTGCGCAGAGGCAGAGGCTGAGGGATGCCAGGAGCTGCATGCTGAGATCTGACAGGCCAACGCTGCTGGCAGTGTCTGTAAATCCAGCAGCTGTGGGAGGGACTTTGGACAGGGATCAGCCCTAGCAGGGTGTGTGGAGGGGTGTGTCACCACATCTCTGTCGAGTGCAAAGGCCGCGGCTTGGGCTCGGGTCACCTCCTTGGCACAAGGCCCTGTGCCTGCTGGGCACACAAGGGCTTGGGGCACAGACGGATGCAGGGACAAGAGGAAGTGCAGTGATAGCATTAAATCCTGCCCTGGGCACCCTGGCTGTGATGCCACGCAGGGCAATGCCCTGTCCGAGGCTGCCATGGGCAGCTCTCAGCTGGGATAACGGTGGGGATGGGGAGCACCTGGGGTCACTCGTGCACTGAGCACCCTGCTCTCTTCCCAGGCATCCATGGGCAATAAATCCTTGGATGTGGAACTACAACTCTGCTCCTTGCTCAGCCCTTGATAGGAATGTACCAACCCTTGTGTACAGTGCTCCAACCAGGCAAAGCTGGGCAGGACATTGCCTCTCCTCACCCTCATTTCATCACCTCCTGCACCCCAGTGCCTGCAGTGCTGGTCCCAGGGTAGAGCCAGGAGGCACAGCCAGCTGGGGGGCAGGCACAGGGCAGCACCTCAGGAGGTGACGGCCACTGAGAACTTTTGCAGGGCAGATGGAGACAAGCAACCTGTGTTTATTGCATCCCTTGGTCCTGCCCACAGTGGGACTCAGCCAGAGCCTCTCAGTGCCTCCCTGTGAGGGCTGCCATGCAGAGGCCCAGGAGGGCCAGCAGGGGCTGTGGGGAGCACCGTGGGCCATGGGAGGCCCTGCGGTTTGCCATGCACCCGGGCTCTGTGGCATAGGGCTCGAGGCAGGCGGCGTAGGCCATGGCGTGGGCGATGTAGTGCTGCTCCTGCACCCCGTGGAACAGGTGGGCCATGGGGCCCTGGGCCAGCACCACCACGTCTTCCCCACTGTGAGTCTCTGTCTCCAGGGGCACAGCTGCCTGCTGTCTGTAGTCCTTGTCCTCTGCAGGGGGAAGAGGAGAAATGAGGCTGGGGTCTGTCTTGCTGACATGTCACGGGGCTGGGGGACAGCTCCCATCACTCCTGCACCAGCCTGATTTCTGCAGTGGGGTGACTCCTGAGCCTCACAGTGGCACCAGGACCCTGTGTGGCATCCATGGCCATGCCAGTGTGATACTGTCCCCAGCCACTGTGTGCCTCCACCAAATCCCCATCAGACTCACTGGGAATCTGTCCCCAGCCACCCCATGGCTCTGCCACCTCCCCAGCAGACTGGTACCTGCAGCAGGGAGGCTGGCAGCTGGACGGGCCCCATCACGGATGCTGTAGCCAGGACCGTTGCCATAGAGGATGCTGGTGTAGGCTCGCTTGTCCTTGGCTTTCTTGGGGGCCAGCCCTGGCACAGGGAAGGACATTGTCACCCCCTGTCCCAGCTGGGTACCCTCCCCAGCTCCCTGCCTGGGCAAGCTCAACCTCCCTTTGGAGCAACAGGGTGAGGTGGAAAGAGGGATGCTCACTGCCCCTCTCCAGGACCCACCAAAGATGGAGTTGCCTCGTGGTGTGCTGCCCCCAAAAGTGAAGACATGAGAGTGATCGGCCGTTACCACGGTCAGGGTGTCAGCAGGGGATGTGAGCTCTCCTGCCCGTGCCACCGCCCGGTCCAGCATCACGGCCTCCATCAGCGCCTGCTTGGCTCGGCCACTGTGGTGGCCATGGTCGATTCTGCCACCTGCACAGGGAATGTGGCTGTCACCCTCTCCCTGGTCCCCTTGCATGGCCACCTACTCCCAGGACCTACATCCCACCTCAGCCCCAGCCACACTGCCCGCCTGGAGCTACTCATCTTCCACAAAGAGGAAGAAGCCCTTGGGGTTCCTGCGCAGGATGCTGATGGCCTTTTCTGTCATCTCCACGATGGAGGGGTCTGTGGATGTGTTGCGGTTCAGCTCATACTTCATGTCCTTGGGCTCGAAGAGGCCTGGGGGAGGAGGGTGAGGGGGTCCATGCCGGGGCTGCTTTGTGCCTCTGCTGACATGTCCAGAAAGGGGAGGAAGAAGCATTGCCACTGGTGCAGCCAGTGATGCTCCTACCCATAAGGTGGCTCACAGAGTCGTCTTTGACCGCATCCAGGCCCTTCTTGTCCCAGACATAGTGGGCACCCTGCCAGCAAGAGCAGAACCAGTGCCAATGACACACACCCTGTGCCCAGGGTTCCATCTCCTCTTCCCCCACACACTACCTGCTTGGCACTCAGCCACTCAGCAATCAAGTCCCGACCGTCCTTCCTGGTGCCATTTTGATCCGGGTCCTCTGGATACTCAGGGTCTGGAGTGTGCCTGGGGGTCATGTACATCCTCCCGCCGCCCAGGATCACCTGCAGGGAGCTCAGCAGACCCTCCCAGTGTTCCACGGCCCCTCCCTCCCGCTCCCGCTCCCCAGCTCACGTTGATGTCAGTGTTGTGCACCAGCTGGTAGGCGATGTCCTTGCAGCCGTCCTGCAGGGCCTCCCTGGGCATGTTGGCGTCAGCGTACCAGCTCCGGCTGGCCGAGTGCGCGTAGGCTGCCCCGGGGGACGCGTGCTGCACCCACGTGGTTGTCACGATGCCCACAGACTTGCCTGCAGCGTGGCCAAGGGTTTACACGGAGCCCATCCAGCCCTGCACGGCACTGGATGGCCGTGCCCGGCTTTCCAACAGGGTTTCCTGCTGTCCCATACCTGCCAGCCTGGCCCGGTGCAGGACAGAGTCCACCTCGTTGCCAAAGGTGGTGTGGCATTTCCCATAGACGGCTGCCCCACTCAGGCCCAGGGTCTTGGCGTTGGCCTTCACCCCACAGAGGTAGGCGGTGCCCGTGCCAGCGCTGTCGGGCACCTGCCGGTCGATGGTGTAGGTCTGGAAGCAGATGGGTGCAGTGGGGTTTCAAGAGGGGCAGCAGGAGTGTCCCCCCAGCCCTGCCCCACTCACCTTGGCCAGGGCCACATGGGGAAAGGTCTCCATGGTCAAGACGCTCTCCTCGCCCGAGCCACCGGCCAGCTGCCCCTTGTAGATCCGAGCTGCTGACATGGTGGACAGCCCCATGCCTGTGGCCATGTCTGAGTCACTGGGGGGCAGTGGCTGGACCAGGGACAGCCCTGCCCTCCCCAGGCACTGCCTGAGGGCTTGCCCCAGCCCCATCTTCTCATCAGCCACATCCCCTGGCTGCTGGGGAGCTGCAGGGCCTGGCAGTGACCCGGGGCACTCACCGTCACCCATGAAGAGGATGATGTTTTTGGCCCGCTGTGCTGCTGGCTGCAAAGCCAGGGCCAACTCCAGCCTCCTCCTGGCACCTTTATTCCAGTAGCCCGGGGTCTTCTCAGCATCTGGAGGTGAGAACAGAGCTGGGAGCCTCCAGGTGCACCCCTGGGATGTCCAGCATGCCCATCTCTACGCGATGTGAATTTAGCTGCTATAAGCCCACCCCACGGAGGACCAGGAAGCCCCAGGAGATCAGCATGACTTTTCAGACCAGCACTGCTCAGAAACTACCTGCAGAAAGGAAACTGAGGCACAGTTTGGCAGGGAAGTCGCTTGTACCTCTTGGCAGAGTGGATGAGGAGCCTGAGGATCAGCCACAGCAAGTGTGCAATGGCTGGGTAACCACGGCTGGCTGTGGCTATTGGGCCACTTTATCCAAAGTCAGGAATGGGGGTTGGGAGCAGCACGGACGGGGCAGGGGGGGAGCAGAGCCTGCTCTGGGGGGAAGCTGAGACCAACCCATTCAAAGGTTGTGGTCTCAGAGCACCCTGAGGTGGCAGTGAGGGTTCCCGTTTGCTGGCATCCCAAGGGGAGGTGACATGGTCCCTGGAGATCCCCCAGGAAGTGACACCAGCCCCAGCATCCCCCACCAGAGGTTCTTACCCCACTGTCCCACGCGTCCCCGGTCACCAGAGGCTGCAGCAGCGAGCTGGGCGAGGAGGCAGAAGAGAAGGCAGGTTCCAGAGGAAAGCAGCCGCCCCATGCTGCCCACCAGCTCCTCCTGGAATGCTGCCCTAGTCCAGGCCCAGGGACGGCCCTTTATGGCTCTTCCCTGTCCCCTGAGATGATGAGCTGATAACATTCACCGGCTATCTCCCAGCCCTCTCAGGGCCCTCCCAATGCCAGCGCCCCACCCTGGGGCCATCCCTGCCCCCACCAGCAAGGCAGGACCTCCAGCCTGTCCCTGAGGACCAGGGCACCTCTGGGCCCCAGCTCCCATGGGGGCGGCTGCTGGGGGACCCTGGGGAGTGGGAGGGAGAGCACAGGGCAAAGGGCTGTTTTTGCAGACAGGCTGAGCTGGGCCAGGCTGGATTTGTCTGGTTTCTCCTGAGACAAACCCGAGGAGGGGGACACTGGGCTGAGGGGTAGGGAGTGGACATACTGGCTTTGGTGTCAGTGTTCTCTGGTTCCCTCTCCCAGCCAGTCACACGCTGCCTACCAGTTCCTGGGACAGCTGGTGCCTGACATGCTGGGCGCCCTGGGGCAGCCCATGCCAGCACACTGCACAGTGGGGTACATTCTGTGGGCAGGAACAGCCCCTGTCACCAGCATCAGGTGACATCGCCCCTGATTGCACCAGGCCATCTGGAAGGACACTGCATGAGCACAAGTCCTGGGGACTACAGGTGTCACTGATGGCTTCACCAGCTCCTAGGAAGTGTGCTGTGCCCAGCCCTGATCCCCCATCCTGACCCAGGCAGTCGAGGTTTGGCCAGCTCCCGGCTCCCACAGATGGCTGATGTGCTGGTGCTGGCCATGGCTGTCACCACTGATGGGGCAGAGGGATGCAGGGCTCCCTGCCTGCCTGGCACAATGGATCCATTCCTTCTTGTCAGATGTCAATCCCTTCACCAGACACTTCTTGTGATGGTGTGGAGGTTGCCAGAGCAGCCCATGCCCCCAACACATGCTCAGAGTGTGGGTGGGGGACATGGGGACAGAGCAGGCAGAGGTGGCTGGAGACAGCAGAGGTCAGTTGGTCAGTGAGGCACTGGATGCAAGGACATGGTGCCATAGGGTGCCTGAGCAGGGTTAGGCTGGAGGCCAAGGTGTGAGGGACTGGAGCAGACACACAGGAACTCCTGATGAAGTCAGAGGGACTGAGGGAATACCTGCAGGATCAGGAGCTGGGAACACCTGCCCTGATGTCACATCTTCTGGCCAAGCATATCTGAGGCTGGGACAGGCAGTGAGGCCAAATTCCATAATGCCTGGGAAGTGGCAGGCATGGGAAGGCAGGGGGCTGCCCAGAGGTGAATTACTGCTGGGAACATGGAGGGAACAAAATAAAACCTGCACGAGCTCCACACACAGCTGCTGACCCGGTTTTTATTACATGACACACAACCCTGCAAGAAATCCTCCTGCACGGCCCCATGGCTGCATCCCCCTGTGTCCACATCCCACCTGGGATGGTGGAGCCAGCCCCTCTCTGCTCCTGGGGACACATATCCCCTCTCTCAGCCCTCACCACGGGCACTGAATCTGCAGATGGACACCACTGCCTTAAAAAAAACATTAAGAAAGCATCATGCTAAAAATACCCAAGAGTAGAAATGTTCTGCCTGGGGCAGGCTCAAGCCCTGAGCCCTGCCCCCAGGCAGAGTTAAAATCCAAACCAGAAATAAAACCACAATGGTTTTAAAACTCAAAACCCCAAAGTCCTTGTGGGTCCCTTCTGCCT